GATGTGAACCAAAAAATGAGGATTTAGGTGTAACTTTTCTGAAACTTTGAGGCCGCCCGAAATAAAACCAAACGGGATTGAAGTTTTGCGTAATCACAGTTTCTACTCTATGAAATGAGAACTGTGTCGCACCTGCTACAGTTGTAATCCCGTTCTTCATTGCGTTTGAATAGACCGATTATCACCATATTGTGTCAAGTTTGGTTAAGCGACAGAAGTAGGGTTAAAGGACAGGAAAATTTGGATTTCGTTATAATAAGTATTCAGAGTTGAATTGAAATTATTTAAAAAATTTCTTTGCACAAATACATTTTATTACACTTGTTCGCAACTAATTTAAAATTCTAAGTAATTGTAGAAAACTTCAATGAAGAAATGAAACGTTGCTTATGTTCAAAACTGTGTTCGTTGACGCATTAACCATGTTAAGCAAACGTTTGGAATATAATAAAATCCTACCAATTTTAATATCCGGTATTTGAGAGTCGTTTTAAAATTTGAAGTATTTAAGGGAAAGTTAACAAAAATATTCATTCCCCATAAATAATTAAATTAGATAAACTGAATTAAAATTACACCTGCGAAACAGAATCCGATACTCAAGGACGAAGTAGTTTGGTGAAATCTGATGACTGTCCATACTAAACAGCTCATCATTGACACATTCTCAAAGGTGGATCTTCCAAATACACAAAAAGAGATAGACACCTGTTTTTTGCGTGTAAAAGTTAATTTGTTTCTAAATAGTTATACAATTAGGTGTTAAACACGGAAACATATTTTACGAAGGTTTGTAATGACTTGCAAATACCTTTTATGAAAACAATCTTCCAGCGAAAACATATACACTAATTATTAAAAGTTGGCCGAAACTCCCAAGGTTTTTAAAATAATAAGATAAGTATAATTCAAAAATGTTCCGACTTTTTTCTGTATTTTTTCCCGTACGGTTTTTTCACCAGTGCCAGATCCATGATTCTAAAATAGCCGGCCGGGGGAGGGGGTTACTTTTTTATATCGATCAGTTGTGGTGGTTTTAGAATAAACTTTTTAATGAAATTGTGAACACTGATGAAGAGTCATTGTGTGAATCAATTATCAACAGTGACTGTTCTCTTTAATGTCGACTATGAACTGCATTTCGCACAGTCAATTGAACGAGAAATTTGAATATGACCGATGACCAACGAAGATTATCTTTACTTAGAAGTTCATAATTTCAATCATTTCAGGCCAAAAAAATATTTGATATTTTGTTATATCCAAATGCTTATTTTACATGGTTCCTGATTTTCATGGCGTACCAACGAGCACAAGATGTGTTCTCCTAGGCAATGACATATGCCTCGATATTATGACAGCTTTATACGAAGGCAATGAAATTTAAAGAAAATCTTCCTCTATAGAACTATTGTACAGGTGAGAAACATCTCAATAGCATAAGGATACAAGTATTAATAGGGAATATCACATGGCACGATCTCCCAATACAATATATACACGTAATCCTTATCCACTCGTTTCTATCCACACACCCAGTAGTCCTATCCGAAATCCGCGAAGGGATAAGAATCACGATGAGCAATTAATGAAAACTTTGCAACGGTGGGTAGGTAAATCGGATCCGATACTCACGGAGCATAATTCCTCCGTGGGTATCGGATCCAGATGTACGATGAATATTTTACCTAACCACCGTTACAAACTTTTCATTAATTGCTCATCGGGATTCGGATCCCTCCGTGGTTTCGGATGGGGATACCCGATGTGGTCCAGTGAGAAAATATACCCTTAACATTTCTTTAGATATAGATTTTGTGTAAAAATGTACAAACAATCTTAAGGAAAAAGTCTAAAAGTCTTTTTTGGGTAGGCTGCGGATTCTAAACAAAATTGTATTTTTATATATAACTTTTCTAAATGGCATTTACAAAATAAGGGTGTGTGGTATGCTTACAAATGAGACAACTATCCATCAGATACCAATTGACGTGAATTTATGTTCAGTTATAGTGGCCAATATTAAGTTTTATTTAATGAAGTTTTGTCGTATGTGATACCGTATGTATTGCATCAAGTACTTCCTGGAATTTATTTCAGTGTAATATTTGTCTTTTTTAAATTAAAAGGAGAGGGTTCAATATTCACAAAACTAATCAAGCACCGTCACATATTTTTTATGAATGTCCTTTGTTAAAAACCATGTAAATTCTCGTCGTCCCTTAATGTTTCTGTCAGTTTCGCAACTTGTTGTTCAGTCAAATATTTAATCCACAAACTGTCTAGACTTGGGGTTATTTAGAGCTTTCCATCTCAGTGGTATTTTATTTCATGAAAAAGTCTGGGGTGCTTTTTGGAAAGCAAATGCTTGTATAGTAACTACTGTTGGTAATAATAAAACCCCACCTGACGAGAGGTGCAATGGTTAGACGTGACTCTTCATCAGTTTAACTTATTACTTATGTATTTAAATACACTTGTCGCCAGAGATCAATAGAACACCTGCACAATTATATAATAAAACTGTTTCTGCAATTTACCGGAATAACCCGATTTATGTTTCCGAATATTAACAACCATTTGGAATCGGTCGTGATGAAACACATTTTAACGAATAAATAAGAGCGTTTTACTATCACACTCTAAACAAAAGGGATAATTGATTTAATGACTGTGATTACATATTTTAGAGTTCCAGTCTCTAAGATCAATTTAATTGTTTCTTAATATTTCTTAAAACCTTTCATTTAGAAAATCTCGTGAAAAAATTCGAACAACCTGCTATAGGTCAACATTTAAATTTACATTTCTCAAGCAAACAAACACGAGAGCGCCTTTTAAATTTCTAATATTTTTTCAATGAGTGAAATAAAGATCATATAATTTGAAATTCAGCTATTTGAAATCACCTGTCTTTCGTTATAATAACTATCCACCTGCAAATGTACACCTGCTCTCGGCTTTCGGTCTTTTTGTTGAACAATAATACTCTAAAATTTTCCAGTACAATGAAATTGCAAATATTTTTAATTTAAATACAGAGGAACAAACAATAAGTCAAACTAAATTACTTTTTCCATTTTCAACATTTAAGAAGATTTATCCGTTTTATGTTGTGAAAGTCTTCCCGCTTTAATACGCGGACTGCGAGGGCGGTTCAGTTAAGGCACGTGCTGTATTCACGCGGACTAATGCTCCTTTATTATTGTTAAAATTAACAAACTTAATTGTCCGCAATGTTTTCTTAAGTCGCACGATCGCATTTTATAAATTTCATCCATGAAACAGGTGCTGGAAAGATCGAAAGTCGTTTGAATCCTTCTTAATAAATATAGAGATTTTATCTTTATACCTGTTTTAATGATCTAAAGATAATAAGATTGAAATTAAAAAAATGAATCCTCTACTCTGCTTTCTTTCGTTTTGAAATATAATAACTGTTATTGTTACACGTAAGTTAATTGGTTCATAAATATTTGCAACTGGCAATTTACGCTCACCAAACAACATCCAACAACAGAGAACATCGTTGATTATATATCTTGCTTTGAAATTTACCTTAATTTAGTGAACTTATGTAATATAAGATAAACTGCATAACTTTATTTTGTATTTTTATAACTTTGTTATTTGAAACAGTGTCATGATGAAATATTTTTGTTTTGAATTTGAATTGAATGCATGTTTCGTGTAAAAAGGTTGAAATTCACCTTTCAAACGTAAACATAAGGAGATCAGCATATTATTTAGTGGTATTTCAATTCCCCAATAGAACAAGACGCAGTGATTTAACAATACTCCATTTAGATCATATTTTGAAAATGTCTCAGTTTTATAAGTACCATTATAATCTGCCTTTTTCTTCCTTCTGTAACAAATAGTGAGATGTTGTATGATTGCGATTAATTCAACTATCCGCCCGGGTCCAAATGAAGTGCATTTTGTACATAAATTAGGCTGTTAGTTTTCTCGTTTGAATTGTTTTACATTTGTCATTTCGGGGCCTTTTATAGCTGACTAGACGGTATGGTTTTTGTTTATTTTTGAAGGCCGTACGGTGACCTATAGTTATTAATTTCTGTGTCTCATTGGCAATTATACCACATCTTCTTATCTTTATTATTAAGCAACTATAGGTAATTGTTTGGGCTTCAAGAAGCTATAAAAGGCCCCGACATGACAAAATGAGAAATAATTTAAACCAAAAAACCAACGGCCTATATATGACAAAACAATAAACGAATAACAAATATGACAAACAGCAAACCAACGACACCTGCTGATTAGAGGTTCTTGGTCTTGGAACAGCCACATATATAGGATTTGGCAGGATTAAACATGTAAGCACATTTCGACTCTTGTCTGTTTGAATTAAATAGCCGTCTTTACATTTGTTTGAATGTGAGAAAAAATGCAGTCGTAATGAATGCTTCTGAAATATGCATATGATTGATAATTGTCATATGGACATATCCAAGAAATTAAATATAATGTGCCATACAAAGTGTTCACAAGAAATCTCGAAATTTTGAACGTACCAAAACAGGGTATCCATATAGAGCCTACTTGATGAACGCCGTCGTACACATGAAAGTTAAAATCAGTACCGTGCGTTATTACACGCTACAAATGACTATCCTTCTATACAATAGAACAGTAACATTATTGTTTTGATATTTCCTTAGATATATATAGCATGTTATATATCACCCACAGATTTTGGTGGGGTTCGTGTTGTTCAGTCTTTAGTTTTTTATGTTGTGTTTTGTGTACTGTTATTTGTCTGTTGGTCTTTTTCTCTTTTTAGCCATGGCGTTGTCACTTTATTTTCGACTTGTGAGTTTGAATGTCCCTTTGGTATCTGTCGCCTCTCTTATATTGATTTCTTTTGTTTTTGAGCCCATCTCGTTGAAGTACACCCCAAATCACTTTTCATTCATATCATGTATCAGTAACCAGTAATAATCTATTTGCTCTGACTAATTAAGGAAACACATAACTATGTTTTATTTTTTTAATTTTCATCAAATAAATAAATAACTTGTGTTCTATATATTAAACAAAAGAACAGCACTACGTCATGTTTCAAAATTTCTGAAAACCGGGACTATTTTTTTTGGCACATGAATACTTTTCAATGTTGCATCAATGAACAACACCCATCTTCGTGTTTCAACAATAGAGACATTCGAGAAAACGTCTTACTACATGACTTACAGCTGTATTTCTTAATGTCTGAATGTGTTTGTAAATGTGCGCGCAGATTTGACCTGTCGGCGAACGCTCGACCACAATGGTCACATCGGAATGGTTTCTCTCCCGTGTGAGTCCGAATGTGACCTTGAAGCAACCAAGGTCGGGAGAAAGCTTTTCCACAAAGCTTACATTTACATGGTAGTGTATGTGTTCTTATGTGCATTTTTAGGGCTCCTAGCGATACGTAAGTCTTGTCGCAATATTTACAAGAAAATTCCTTTTTAACTTGACTAGTACAATGGAACTGTTTATGTTTTGATAAGCCACTGAAAGTTGAGTAACTTTTATTGCACCCATCACACTGGTACCGTGTTGGCTCTCCTTCCCTGTTCTTTCTCTTAAAGGACAGGTCCAACTCAATAGTTTTGCTTTCTAATGGAGATGTATATTTTGCGATGACCGGATCGAATGCTGAATCCATTAATTTCCCCGCAATACTTGAGTCTATGTCTTTATTTTCTGTTTTTAATAACTTTTCTCTGACAGACTGTATAGGGAATGGTCCATTATGCATGAATGGTGTCCGCGGTATAAACCCGTTCATCATTGGATTAAAAGATGAGACGGGATCCGGAAAAGACTTAAATGGTAAGTTTTCCTGCATGTTATGAAACGGAAGTCCAGGTGGAAACCCATGGAATCTCAAACCTAGGGGTAGAAAGGGTGAATACTGTGGATGATATCCAGGGAATACTGCATTTTGCCATGGATACACTTCACTGATTTTCGAGGTATTTGACGGACTTCCATTCGGACTTCTGAGGAAGCCTCTATCTGATTCTTTGTAAACAGGAGCTACAACTTCTGAGGATCGTTGACACATATCGTCGATTGATCCATCTGTCTTCACATTTCCCCGTCTGCTTAAATTAATTGGAGTCTGTAGTACGTTCATACAATCTGAAAAAAAAATGCATTTTCTTCTATCATTAAAAAAATTAAATATCAACTAAATCCATTCATTCTGAAATATATGCAAGACTTGCCATCAATTTGCGAATAGTATGTTTATATATAAAATTATTTTCCCATGATTGCTCTGACGTCTTACTTCCCAACAGCTCATAAAAAGACCGTCAGATGTCAGTGCAATCTTGGACTATATATATATAAGCAGACGACATTTGCGATACTAGTATAAGAATTTCTATCATATAATGAAAAAATGTCAAATATACGAAGATGTTATCTAGCAATGGTATTGAAAAGGGTGTGGGAAAGCGACAAGACATTAAAACAACATACAACCGCTAAAATTGAAGTTCTCTATGAAACATTGATTTGATTTGATTTGATTTTTGGTGTTTTAACGCCACTTTTAAGCACCGCTTTTGGGCTATTTTGTGGCGGCCAGTTTTTATTGGTGGAGGAAGCCGGAGCGCCCGGAGAAAACCACCGACCTTCGATAGGAAAACTGACAATCCTAGTCAATTAAGATTGGAGTCGAGTGCACCCGCACGAGCGGGGTTCGAACTCACAACCTCAGTGTTGACTGGCTAGTGATTACAGTAGTAACTACTTAGACCACTCGGCCACCGAGGCCCCATGAAACATTGAAGCATTCAGCAATTATTCGTTTTTGTTCCCGACAATGCTTCGATCAATGAGACAAACTTTAAAGTACAACTAATACTGAACAACCTGTTCCGAAACTTGTTAATAATATTTTTACGATCACAATCTCGCATATTATTTTTTGATTTAATATCAGTTGTCGATAATAGCCAATATTCCGTCTCATTTAACTTCCAGCATGAAATAAACGTCAGATTTAACCCGTTGTTTTAAGAGGAAATCCATTAGTTAGTATAGTTTTATTTTTGTTGCACCTGTCGCTATGAAAGTCAAATACATATTTGATATAAATCAGTTAAGACTTAAATGTTCTTAACGCGGTAACAGTTTGTTTACAAAGCGTTGTTTAACAGGTAGCAAACATGTATAAATGGGGCTTATACTCATTGTATAGTAAGGTCAATATTCAGTCACTTTTTGATAACTGCTTAACGTCCAGTAGCAAATATGATATATTCAAAATTGATTGATTGTTGCTTATTTAACGTTCAGTGATAATTATTTCCTTCATATTAGGGGCGATAAATCCAATAGGTTATGCAAGGTACATCGAAAGGTGGTAAATTTGGAATGCAACTGATATAAAAGGGGAAGTGAGAGGTTTAGCTAGCTATAAAACCAGGTTTAATCCACCATTCTATACATAAGGAAATGCCTGTACCAAGTCAGGAATATGACAGTTGTTTTCCATTCGTTTGATGTGTTTGAGCTTTTGATTTTGCCATTTGATAAGGGACTTTCCGTTTTGAATTTTCCTTGGAGTTCGGTATTTTTTTTTATTTTACCTTTTGGATAGGGGAAGAAATCAAGCCTAGCAATACGATGTTAAAAGGCGTGTCAGTCATCCTACACAAGGAATCGGATTTAATGTTCCTATTCCGACCGCAAGTGGTCGCGTATTTATATATCCTATACAGTTAAAGGGACATCCCACTTTAGCAAGGTTTTTACTGCAGGAGGGGAGCAGTTCAGGGATGACCATATTTCTATTCCCCACGGTAAACCCTTTGGTTATATAGTCAGGAAGTCTACATGCTAATATAAAATTAAGAAGTGGTATGATTGTCCATGATACAACTCTCCACGAGCATCTATACGTCACCGTACCTTCTTTAACTATGAACAAAACCAATATTGCACAGCAAGCTATGAAAGACTCTTAATGACAAATGTATAACAATTCCAACAAGAAAATTAACGGCCCGATTTATGTACAATACAATTAACGAAAAACAAATATGATATACAGCAACAAATGACAACCACTGAATTGCAGGCTCCTGACTTGGGACAGGCACATACAGAATGTGGCAAGGTTAAACATGTTTGCGGGCGCCCAACCCTCTCCTTAACCTGAGGTTATATATGAATGGATATTGTTGACATATATATACCACGAATTGCCCTGTATTCATGTGATAAAACATATAATATTATTGAGGCATTAGCTCTAAACAAATACGATGTATTCAGTTCTCAACAAATACGATGTATTCAGTTCTCAACTTCAGTTCTCAACAAATACGATGTATTCAGTTGATTCTTGCTGTTTGTTTTATTTTTGTGAATCTTCTTTTCTTAGTAAATGAATTGATCGTTTGTGGTTTATTTAACGTCTAGTGGCAAATATTATCTAAATTCAGGACGGCTGCGTAAACGGATCACGCGGCGGCAAGAATGTCGCGAATTATCGTTTATTGTTGAATCGTTTTAAACTAGCAGATTTTTTTAATTTACTTGCTGGGTTTTGTCTACATTTCCTTTTATTAAAAAATATTTTGGTCTTTCTTTTATGTTTCTCGATACTACGGTAGTGGAATTTTAACTAATCAGCTGACCTCCAGAGAGAGAGAGAGAGAGAGAGAGAGAGAGAGAGAGAGAGAGAGAGAGAGAGAGAGAGAGATTTTAGTCTTAGATACATGACTTTTTTTATTCATTAGTTGTTATTGGCTTTGAACTAACTGTCAGTAACTGCGAGTACTCTCAGATCTGTACTTAGTGTCCTTTTTGTTGTTATGGAAGAGGGATGGATAAATACCCTGCCACGTCCAGTCTGTGTTAATGTTTGATGTTTTTCTGGCAGTTGCTGTCAAGTAACCTAAGAATAACTATATTAAAATGGCTGTGGGTATAGATAATTATTTTTATTTAATTGGTGGATTTTTGATTCATGAATAATTTATTTTGTAACAGTTTGTTGGTCTTGCCTTTTTTGTAAAAAAAGAAATTATTTCATTCTTCATAGAATTTGATATACACATGTATTTGTATTTGAGACTTTTCTAACATACGGATCTCTAGAATGTAGATGTAGCTGTCGACTTAGTTCATCCCCTTTTCTTCTCCAAATAAATGCTGGTTTTTTTAAGCAAATACTTTATATAAAAATATTTGGTAGTAAATATGAGCATTATCTTGATAGTGTTACTTGGTTATATAAGGATAACATTGAGTACCTAGACAGAACAACAAACTCACCGAACACCCGATTGTATTATATTTTATAACGTCTTACTCTAATTTACTTTTCAAATGGCTGTGCGTTTGGATTAAAAATATATCATAAAATAGATTTAAAGGTTAATTAACTCACCTTCCTTGCATAGTTGATTACAGTTGACGTCCAGCTCCACTTTCGTTTCCATCAGAATTCTGTTCCTATCAGCATCTTTTTCTAACTGCGAGGGCAAGTCCTTAAAATCAACAACATGTCTTTTTGTGTCTCTTTCCACTTTAATAGAAGATTGAAAATTCATTTCTGGTAGTGACGGATTTCCTACATCTAATTCTCTCTTTTTCACAAGGAAAGATCTCGGCATGATATTGTATATTTAAAAGTTTATCAGAAGTTCACAAACTGTCCCATTTAATATCAAATCAAATAGTTTTTCACGGTTTTTAAAACGTTTTTAACACTTGTTTTAAAGTGTCTATAATTGGTTATATCTTTAATAGTAATATGACCGAAACAAGTTAATTTACAACTTCTGACCGGGTTTGAGACGATCAGCAGTTAAATAATTTTTTTAAATGTATGGAAAATCACGGCGTGAAATAAAGCTGCTTTCGTAGTTAACCTATCACAAAAGAGAAGTGATTATTAAGTTATAGCCTGCGGCCAATCACTAACGACGTTTTGACTTTCGACTCCGCCTTCTTTAACCGATCTTCCTTTACAAATGAAGATAAAATTACTTGTAACAGGTGTTTCACCTTAAAAGAAAATATTTATTCTGCCTTGTTAGGAAAACACGCAAGTCTTTATCGATTAAAATCTTCTTCTATAAATTATATACTAACATTAACAAAATTTTTAACAATAAATTTTTATTCTATATTGAAATTATAAAATATTTAAAATAAAATTGTTTCAAATCAAATTACAGAGGCATTTAACCTTGCTAAATTATGATTTAGAGGTGATTATAATTCCTTTCACAAAACATAATTTTGCGATTAACTTCCCATTAGTAGTGATAAATATAATTAAGGTAAAAAAAAAGTCAGTCCAGTATATTTGCTTGAAAATCCGTATTCATTTTAAATGCAAAAATATTTTAGATTTTTATTGAGAATATTAAATATTTTTGATATTGGACTATGACGTATATCGAGAAAACATTCCCTTTGTCATACATCCGTGTATTTAAATTGTGCATACGATAATATTTCTTTTTATATAAAATATGAAAAGAACAACAATTAATTGTAAAAGTAAATTAAAAGCGAAGGCTAAGAAAATTTTTAATGGAAACATGGTGTGGTATATTTTACGACTGTTTAACCACAATTTTTAAAATATTATGTTTAAATTCGTTCTAGTAAACCGACAATATGAAAACAGTTCTCGAAGGTGCCAAGATAAACGATTATTCTACTCTTTAATATTTGTCAAGCCATCAGCCCCTTCTTTTCCGTGAGCCTGCTTAATATTCCAACATTAAAGTGTGAATTCTCATGTTTACGCAAGTGTCATCCTCCTGTCAATTTGATCTCTCCCTGTTATTGATCCCCCACGACCTATCACCTCCCCCCGGACACTTCCGTTGTCACAGTAGAGCGATAACTAGAAGTGTACACAAACTGACATTATCTACATGTTTTATTCACTTTATTTTGTTTACAAAACAAGTGTTTGTTAATAAGTAAGTATGTTGACACAGATTATATACCTACCCAGTTTTTGTAACACATTTTAAATCTTTATAAATCATTTTAATATCAGTCTTGTAATTAATCTCTGGTAATTAATCGAGGACTGTTAAGAAAGTTTGTGTGTCAAACAAATTCATGTTTCTATATTGGAAACTATTTTGTTTTATTATTTTCACAAATAAAATAAATTAAAGGACACTTTTAAAATTTCATTTGAGAAAGATATGCCCATCATTTAGTTGTATCTCTGCTCCGGTGCGGGACGTTTGTGCTTTTGATATGACATTTGCGCTTTTCGAAAGAACATTTGCGCTTTTCGATAGGACATTTGCGCTTTTCGAAAGGACATTTGCGCTTTTCGATAGGACATTTGCGCTTTTTTTAATGGACATTTGCGTTTTATCAACACGACATTTGAGTTATATTATGGTTAAAAGTTTAAAAGATCATTTAATACCAAAAGCACACAAATTATTTCTATATTTATTACAGCTAAAAGACTGAACTTTTTGTCATCATGTCTGTCAGATCAAGGAGGCTGATCTTATACAACTATTTGGTCAGATGAAAACGACAACACTTAAAGAGGGCGAATTGAAGTAAATTCCTTAACAACCACGACACTTTCTAAAAGACAACATGAACAGCAGATGGTTTAAAAAATCAAATTTCGGTCTTCACAAATTGAAACAAGCTTTAATACTAGATAAGCCATGATGATACAGTTCCACGGAATATCCACGAAATAGAATATAGACTATTTTCCAATTTTAAATCCACGAATTGTATAAAAATGCATGAGGAATTTATGACAAAATTTATATGTTCCATCCAAAAACTTCGTTTTCTCTATCGTTTATCCGAATAATTCTTTTTTGATTTTGTCCTTCGTTCAGAAGAATTTTCAAAGAATATGTGAACATCTTTCCATGACTTTGTTTAATTTGGTTAAGATTGTTAGGTAAACTGTCATCAGTGAAAAGCGCAAATGTTCGGGCAATTTAGTTCAGGTGTATCATAATTTAAAGCGCAAATGTCCCAGCGTCTTAGGCTCTGCTACTGGTAATAAACCATGAAATGATGAAATATTTGTATTCGTACAAGAATATTAGTTTCTTCATCGATACATCAAAAAGGATTAAAAAAAAAGAAGTAAGAAAGAAAATATTATTTTGCATCCAGATTATTGTCAAAGTCACTTCGAATTATTATTAAAACAATCACGCTAGATCACTAACATAAATATACAATCGTTATCTGTCCAACTTAATAAATTTCAAAAGTGTTTATGTATTGCCAAAAAAATTCGTAATTGTTGAATGTGTATATCATGCATCAAGACTGTTAAACTATATTAATGCTCCTTTGTTTTTAATTGTATTAATGAATGACTATATTGTACTATGTGATGCCTACTATAATTAATGTAATATTAATTGTACTTTATACCTTTAATTGTACATATTATGCCCGACTCTAAATAAAATTTACTTACTTTACTTACTTACTTACTTACTTACCTCCTTATATAAGCTGTATTGCTTTCGGAATAAAGAATATGTATGTGATAGCCTATTTATTTTGTGTATATTTAAATTGTAAAATAAATATGTATAATTATGTAAATGTAAAATAAAACTATAGCGTTTTATATGAAGCACAAAAGTCAGCTATTACATATATAATTCAGCTTTGTTCATTTTTGAAACAAACATAGGAAAAAGAGAGATGACAAAAGAGTAAAAAGTGAAGAAAAAATATGATCAATAAATAAAGAAATTAATAAATTCAATTATTTTAAATTACTCAACGCACTCGACGTAAAACTGGTGATTTTGCTGTGTACCAATGTATTGGGTGAAATCTATTTAAATTATAAATTGTATAGTTTTAGTTTCAACCGTAATTATTAAAACTCTCACAATGGGTTTCCACTTCAAAATGAGGGCACGTTTTCAGTATTTAATACACAACATTTGGGAATTAAGAAACAAATATTTAATTAAGAAATATATGACTTATGTAAATATATCAGCCAACATCTCTTCTGAAAAAGTACTCTTAAAAAGTTTGGTCTTTAGACAACCTTTTCAAAAGTTACAATTTAATTGGGTATTTAAAATTTTGAACCACCAATTAGTAAATCTTAAAATAATATTTTATATGCAACAGGTAGAAACAAGTGTAAAATACATAAAGTTAATTGCCCGATTAACGCTTGGTAAATACACATCACTTAATACTTGATAAGAACCGTTTGCAGGTATAGCCTTTGAACTGACTGTAATCTAAATAGGTATATTGTATTGAGTGTTGGTTAAGTGATTTCTCTTTAAACAGGTGGATTTTAGTGGAATTATGATTCCTAAGTTAGAGTTACTACAAATGCCTTTTTTGCTCTTCAGACTAAATTAAGATTTATATTATTGAAACCACTATTGATCACATTTTGATGAATTTAGGAGCTTTGAAATTGTTTATTTATGAGTGGCGGTGACATACCGTGACTATAGTATTAAATAGAGAAACTTAAAAGAGCCTATTCTAACAGTACTGACTCCAACACTGGCGTCGTAAAACACATTTTTTTGCCTGCGAGTAGATAATCACAATCGTATGAATAAAAAGACTATTGTACTGTTACGTGGTTTTATAGCAGGTTAAAAGGTCACGATTTATAAAATTTAGTAGTTTTAACAATTACAGACGACCAGACAAACAGAAATCAACAAAAAACACAACAGAAACCAACGATTAATTTAAACAGAGAAACAAAGCAAAATAAAAAGAAAAGAAACTAAAAAATCAAAAAGTTAATAAATTAGAACTCAAATAGACAGGTTTCATAGAGAGTTAAAGAAATATACAAGTGGCCGAATACGGGGTTCGTCCCCTTGATCGCCCCCCTCCAAAAAAAAATATCATGTTTTTCACTATATATATGTTCCGGACCATATGAGTATTTTGACCGTACGCGTATGGTCATGACCATTTGGGTATACTCCTATGGTCAGACCATACGCATATGGTCGGACCATATGAGTATATACTCGTTTGGTTACTAACGGGCCAGACCATATGAGTATTTAGACCATATAGGTATTTTTTCGAATAAATTCAAACTTCCTTAACAGACACAGCTCGTTCTCTGAACTAAAATCGGCACAACTTATTAACTGAGATCCTTTGTTACAGATTGTCTGATTCTTGGTATACTTGTCGTCTTGCCTTCGCTATCTAGAGTCAATTTTAAGTACCTTTATCCTGTCGACAGTTTCGCCCGTACGTGAAACCAGAAGTATTTGGGAGCATGGACAATTTTTTTTTATCTTTTTTTCCCGGCGTTTAGATTAAATTTTCTTTGATTTCTTCTTCTAACAAATTTTAAAGTAACTAAAAATGATTTGAACTGTTTAAGAAATTTTACAAAAAACAAACTGAAACACCAAAATAAAGAAAAAGGAGGGTTCAATACTCCAATTGCTAATGAGTAAAACAGTTGAATTCTTGCTTAACAGTTCATTTAAATAGTTAATTTCGGATTCGACATGTATTAAGACAAATTAATAATGACCATGCAAATTTTTTTTACTTGTGACTAAAATTTATCTTATTTCATTAATTATTTTACAATCAATACCAATAACATAAACGGTACCACTGTTTCTGCACCAGATGCGCATTTCGACAATCAATGTCTCTTCAGTGAAGCTCGAGGCCAAACTATTTGAAAATCCAAAGCTTATTAAAAAGATGAAGAGCTATAAACGAAAAAGGGCAAATGTATAGCCAAAGCCGGGTAAGGAATCAGAGCTTTGCATGAGGAAGATACATTCCTTAATTTAAAAAAAATTCCAAAATTTTGTAACAGCAAAT